TGACGCGGTGCCATTCATCAAACAGAGGAAAAGACCAGCATTTTGTATTCTGTATTCTCTATGAAAGACTATTATATAATAGATGGGGAGTTCTGGATGGCTGTCATAACCCTGACTGTGTATCTACAATGTGAACTTGTTAAGTCCAAATATATTTTTCACAGACACCACACATGGAAAAGGTTAGAAATGTGACTGTAATAATAATATTCTGTAATAAGCACGGTAAGCCTGGGGACAAGAACATTAATTCTCATTTGAAAAATGAAACAGAAAGCATGACTAGAACTGAACTTAACTGCTTCCTGATACAAAATGATTTTGATTTTCTTCTTCACTCACCTCATCTAGTATGACGGAAGCTGTGTGACCTGTAAATTATTGAACCTCTTGTCTCAGCCTCATCACTTACTCAACGTCGAGAATTATAATAATATAGTGCCAAATCAGTAAGGAGTCCATCTTAGTTATTAAAATTATTATATTATCATCATTAGAGAATTGGCTTTAATAATACAGCTGGACCCCTGAAAATATAAAAATCACGGTTTCTTTTAATATTTATCTATGTCCTGCTATGAGTTTTGAGTGGCTGAATATATGTGGAAAATAATATCTGCTGAAAACAAGGTCATTGTCACATAATCTACTTATGAGGAACTATCCTAAGAAGAAAGATTCTCCTGAATTGAAATGATATTAAGTTAACAGGCTACAGTGATGTTAGTCTTTCCCAGAGAAAAAGGAAGAGAGTAAGACAAGTATATTGAAGTCTTTTATGAAAATACGATCATATACACTAGCGACCATGAACACCTAATTTTCTTCTCTGTGGAGCAGAAGTAAAAATAGAGGGTATGAGTCTAGGTGACAAAGCAAACTTGGACTCACTAGTCTTAGTAATATATTGGAGAGTACAGAGAACTTTATCTCAGACAAAGAATAAAATTAGTGTGATAAAACTCAACTTTTGATTTTCATTCATTCATTCATTCATTCATTCATTCATTCATTCATTCGCTTGGTGAATCATTATGAGCTGGGTATTGTATCAGGTTTTGTAAAAAGAGTAAGACATGGTTCCATTCTAAGGTAGCTTGTGGGGGGGGGGGGCAGTCAGCTAAGAAGTAAGGCATGCACTATAAAAGCACTGCAGAATCAAGTGGGACCTGAGGCAGGGTGATCGACTCAGCCATGAGAAGTGAAAGGTCCCACTGCTTATCAGGTTTTGTGACCTTGCCTCTCAAAAAGGCCACACTTTTAAGAATTGTTTTCAAGGTAACAATTATACCTCAATAAAACTGTTTAAAAAATAATTATTTTCATCTTTAACTTTCTGCCATGTTATTTTTCTCTTGTACTTTCAATTTCCTAAAAAACAATAACAGTAAAAAAATCCTTAGAATACTTCAAAGAGACCCCACTCCCCCAAATCCCAGGATACGGACAAGCGGTGAGAGGAACAGCTGCTGAGAATTTGTTAGTGGACTCTGAAGGAGAGAGCCCCAGGCGGAAGCTTCCTGCAGCAGACAGGCCAGTTTCTAAAGTGCACAGAAGAAACAAGACAAGAGGAGGTGACCAGCTCAAGTCTTTGGCTATTTGCTAATATTCTCCTTCCCTTTCAGCCCTAGCTCCCCTCTTCCAACGCCTTCTTTCCCATCCTTCCAAGAACACCCCTCCATTTTCCTAGAGACCCTGGAGAAATTAGCTTCTGGGTATGGAAGGTGCCTGCTTTGAAGTTGGTTGGTAATGTTCCTGGGTAACCCTCTCCCAGAGATACAGCTATTTTTAGAAGGAAAGTCAGGAACAAAAAACTTTCCTAGACTTGAAAGACTGCCTATTCAGTGGCAGAATGGCAAGCATGGACATAGGTCACTGGTCAAACATAGGTCAAACATTAGGTCCTAACATACTGCCAGTCATCCTATGTACACAGCTATGTACTACATCTCCTAAGAGGCTGACTTGGTCAAAGGACAGGGACACCTTGGAACCTGGAGAATGTTTATGGTCAGTGGTAAGCATACCTATATAAAAACAGGTCCAGGTGTCTTTTCCTTTTTTTTAAACCCTCACCCGAGGATATTTTCCCATTTATCTTCAGATAGAATGGGAGGGAGAGGGGAGGGTGGGAGTGAGAGAGAGCAAGAGAGAGAAACATTGACATGAGAGAGACACATTGACTGGTTGCTCCCGTAGGATCCCGACCAGGGCCCAGCACCAAATCTCAACTGAGGTACGTGCCCTTGACCAGAATCAAACCTGCAACTCTTTGGTCTGTGGGCTCTAACTGCTGAGCCAAACCAGCCAGGACCCACATGTCTTTTTGGGGGGAAAAGGGGAAAATACTATTCTTGGGGATCTGTGGTTGTGGGAAGGCTGTGATTAAGGGAGTCTTTTCCCCAGGGTTACACTCAAGTGAAGTGAGTTTTGATCCTCATTTCAGACCATTTTCTTGGCAGAGTTGAACTGGTTTGGTCTGGTGAATTTTAAGGTACCAACAAAATAATGACCACATTTCTTTGAATCCAAGTTCTTATTCTTCATGAATTTAAATTGCAGTAATGCCTTTCTTTTTTTATTTTTTTTCCATCATCTCTTTAGAGTCCAGGTTCTTAAGGTATCTCTAACTTTTATTTTGGATTTATGTTTTTTCTTAATCTGTTCATTTAAAATACAGCAAATAAAGGAAAATCTCTTAAATGTGTCAGTGATTCTATAATAACAACAGCATATCCTTGATGTGCTAGTATCAGGCTCATTCATATCTATCAAAACACAGAGGCTCCTTTAAACACTTGAGTTCTGTCATGGGATAGGAAGGGAAGTGACATCAGATTTCCATGCTGGATCTCATTTGGATAAACAGGAGTTTCCAATAATAAGAAATAAAATCAAACATTCATTTTATTCTCGATTCTCCTCTTATATTCACTTCTAAGTTGTATTTCTAGGAATCAGTACTTCCTGATAACTTGTATCTCACATTGTCTAAAATGTATAAACCACCAGAGAAAAAATTGGAGTATCAGTAGAACTGCATATATACTCATTTGGTATGTCAAAGGACAGAAGGCGGAAGTACCTTCCTACTGGGACTCTATGTGAATGTGTCTCTACATCTCTACAATGAGATCTATCTATGTAAGTGTATTTATAAATCTACTACAGTGAGATCAGGGGCCTTACTATCTGTAGGAAGAGTAGGAATCAAACAAACATTTCTTCTGAACATTTGTATGAGCTTCTCCTGATCTCGGTATAGTCCTTAAGTGTAGCATTCATCAATCTTAAGATAATTCAGATATATCATCATAGTTATTTAAAAATACATGCACATACGCATTTACAGCTCTATTGTTTGAAATGATCTTCCCACTATTTCTAAACAAAAGTGAAAAATCTCACCCCATTAGTTCAAGTCCCATACATTTCACCCAATCCCCTTTCCTTACTATTAATCTGTCCCTCTTTCTATATGTATAGGGTGAGTCTGGACTATTCTTTTTAGCTTTGATTCCTTATGAATCATCTAGCAATACTCCAGGAGTTAGCAAAAAATTATATTTCTCTTTCTACACTTTCCACTGTTACACTAAAACAATGAAATCCCCTAAAGACTTGAGTGGCAAGTTTGAAAGCTGCCATGCTCTTGCGGAGGGGACAGGATGGAAACGCTGTTATAGAAATTCCGCGTCGGGGTTCCTTTCTGCTACCTGTCATGTGGAACCACAGCTTCTCTACCTGTCGTACTCGGTCACCATAGTGATTAGCCCAAAGCAGTATATCAGCTCTGAAGTCTGTACAGATTAAGCATAAAGTTTACCATGCTGGAATGCTTGTTTTAAAATTGTTTACTTCCACTTGAGAATTTCTCAAAATATAAGCATCACAGAAACAGTAATGTATACTGGTCAAACTGAGCACAAACAACTCTGCTACCACTCTAGGTTACAAAGTGACAGGTGGTGACTTTTGTAAGTCAGTGGCATAAAAACATTAGCCTGGCTGGATCATCTTCTGACAGGCTTAAATATTCTCAAGCATTGGCCAGACAATGAGATTGAGGAAACTCTTCCGAGAGTCTTAAAATGTGATTGCTGAAAGGTCAAGTTAGTAATTTTCCTTTTTAATATTCAAAACCAGTAGTGAAAGTGGAGGCGTTGATACAATATCTAGACCAGGGGCTATTAACAAGAGACCCTCTGAAATTCTAGGCTGATAATGTAATTCAGGGGAGTTTTGATATTTCACAAGGCTGCTACATATGCCTTGGAAAAGAAACAGCTGAATACCCAAGTACCCACTCTGCCACTACCATGCTGAGAGGCACCGCTCAAGTGACACTCTCTTTGTGCTTTAGTTCCTTCATCCGTAAAATGAAAGATTTGGAAGAACAGTCTTTAAGATCTCAGCCAGCTCTGAAATGCTCTGATTCCACAAGGGGAAATTATAAGATAATGAGGCTGAGTTTCAAGTGTGGTGTGTGGATAGCATCACTCTGTTTCATGTGGCATGTTATCAATCAGTCCATTTAATCCAAGTCATAGTTACTTTCCCTGGGCTGGTCAAGAAACTCTTTTCAATCTCTCATTGTTCGCTTTCGGGTCTTGTCACTGCACCTTAGAAACACCGTTTTAGGCAACTTTCAAAGACGAGAGTTAGAAACATCCTCCCTCTTCATGCTTCGTTAAATCACTTCACTGGCATGCCATCACACAACACTTCCAAGTGTCGTAGCTTCTAGAAAGTGTGGGATGGGTTAAATCAAGGGCAGGACATAAAATACAACTGTACTCAATTTCCTATGGCACTATTTTACTCTCTAGGCTTTTACACAGCATTTAAAATGTATGTTAAATACAGAGAAACTTTACTGAAATACGTACCTGACCAAGAGAAAAGAGGCAGTAGGTTACTCAAGAAAATAATTTGCAATGAAGACCAAGAAGGTACAAGAGGAACATGTAAAAAGTAACAGACATTCAGAAAGCACTTACGGATCAAAGGCTGCCAGCAGGAAATTCAGCAGGAGGCTGATGGACTGCTCCACGTGGATTTGGTGAGTGGTTGGCATCCGTTTGTTGAGCTGGTAGAAAATGGTGGAGAGCACAGCCTCCAAGCGAGCCACATTGAGTTCTATGTTTGGGTCCAGGTTGTTCAGGGCATTTTCCCGCAAAGCTTCTATGACGTTCCAAATGTCCACCAGATGCACTACATACAATTAAAGCAGAGTGGACACATCAGCTCCAAGTGCAAGGTCAGGTAAATTCATTATTTTACTTATACCACTGTCAAGGCACCTCACAGGCTTTGCTATGTGTTTGACTATTGTAGGGGTTGACATAGTATATGTACATACTGCATAGTTTCAAAGACTGGATGTACAATGTCTAATAGCAAGCAAATGAATACCATAGTAGACAGTTACTTCTAGTCTTTATAATGACCCTTGAAATACAGCTATTATCCCTGTTACAGGTGAGGAAACAGGATCAGGGAAGTTAACTGACAAAACATAAAGGTCCAAGTCTGGTCAATGGCAAAACTGGTATTTAAATCCAAGTCTATCTGGCTTCTTTAAAAAAAACGGCCATAAAATTGACATTTCACAGTGTATAACTTGCAGGTGTATACTGTATGAATTTGATACATTTATATATTGCCATCTGATTGCCAACATAGTGTTAGCTAACACCTCTATCATGTTCCATAACTATCATTTCCTTTTTGTGGTGAGAACATTTAAGATCTAGTTTCTCAGCAACTTTGAAGTAGATACTTGTGATTATAGTTAACAAATCTATCTGGCTTAGAAGCATTTTCCCATTTTACATGCTAATCCTTAGAGAGAGAGAGAGAAAGAGAGAGAGAGAGAAACCAACACAACACAAATTCTTAAATTCTATTATTTGGAAGGATATCATAACTGCATTTGTGAATTTAAAATATTTTTATTTATATATTTGTAGTAGTATAAGGTTCGGAATAAGAACAAAGTGGGCAGGAAGACAGGAGAAAAGGAAAAGTTATCGCTACAATGCAGCAGCAGAATTAAGTCACAGGTCGCTTAACTATGCTGCTCAAAAACAAACAGTTCCTTGGCTACATTATTGACTAGTTCAATTAGCTTACACCATGGTTACTTTTACTAGGATAGTCAAGAAAACCATTTCTATTTCTGTTCCCCCTGAAGTCTTGTTATGACATCCCAGAAACCATTACCACAATCAAGATAATGAATACATTTATCACCCCCAGAATTTTCCTCATGGTCCTTTGTAATCCATCCCAAACCACAAATCTGCTTTCTGTTATGATTTTCTAGAATTCTATATAGCTAAAACCATCCAGTGTGTACTCTTTTTTTGGGGGGGGGGTAGGGGTCTGGGTGCTTTTACTTAGTGTAACTATTTTGAGAGTCATCCATGTTGTTAGATGTAGTAATAGTTTATCCTGTTTGTTGCTGAATAGTATTCTATTATATGGATATATCACAATTTGATTGTTAACTCACCTGTTGATGGACATTTGGGTTGTTCTGGGTTTTGGTGATAAAGAATAAAATTGCTATCCACAATTACACAAATCTTCCATTTCTCTTGGTAGGTACTTAGAAAGGAAGTGGTTATGTTACATGGTAGGAATAGATTTAATTTTTGCAAAACTTCCAAAGTGTTTTCCAAGTAGTTGTATTATTTTACATTCCCATTGACAGTGTATGAGAGTTCCAGTTTCTCCACAATTTTACCAAGTTCAAGGTTCACTTTTCATTATACTTTTGCATTTGAAAATAAATACGTTGTATTCTCAATGAAGTACAGGTTCCAGTTCCTGAGAAATGGGCACTCCACATATACTTTTTTTTTTACCACCAACTCCCAAGTTTTAATCTCCTAAATCTTTGCTTATTTTTGAAACTGTGTTTCAAAAAACAAAACCAACATTTATTAAACTACTCAACTTGGAGTCCAAAGCAGTGGACTTGGAGTCCAAAGACCTAGGTTCAAATCAGACTCTTCTACAAGTGTGTGCCCTCTTAGCCTTGAAGACTTAGAGGCTCATGTTCTTAATTTGTGAAGTGGGTGTGATGTTCCTTAAATGGGAAATGTGTACATTCAAAAGTAGTAGTGCTTAGTACACAGACACAATACATTATACATGAACAAATGAACAGTGTGTTATGTAAAAATATTTTTTTGGGGGGCATATCTCTGGTTCCTGGCAGAGGAATACAAATCACTTTTCAAACTAATTACTTAAATGTTAGGTTTAGGTAAATTCAGATTTATGGGATTTTAAACTTGCAACCTTCTCTGTATATCACATAACAAGGAAATTATTTGTCTTTTTAAATGTTATTTATTCCATTTTTCAATTTAGCAACCAAGGCATTCCTCCAAAATTAGCATCTATAAGTTGAATTTATTTATTTTATTTTTTTGAGGAAAGAATCTGGGATTCTATCATTATTCCCTACCTATTTGATCTATAGATCCTCTGGATCTAGTCGTTGGGGATATGTCTGGGTGTAGGATACAAAAATAGCAGTGATAAAAAAATCTGGCCCATTGTCCTGATTGTTTTCTGTGCCCGGTCATCATGGGAAGTAGGTTAGTCATCTGGTTCCTGGCTATGGGTCATGTGAAACACAGTGGAGGAGAGGCATATGAACTATGAACTTGAGCATAGGAGGGAGATGGCTACAAGCCAGGAAGGAGAAATGGCTGCTGGGAGAGGGAGGGAATTTGGACGCCTAGGTTTCTCCTGTTGAGTCTTTGTAGGGCATAAAGAGGTCTCAGTGTTCCCAGGGGTGGAATCTCTAGGTCCACAGAAGTGGCCAACATGTCCACAGGTGTATGGGAGGGTCCCTTAGGCACTTCAGCCTCTGCGTGCCCAACCTACATGCATCTCCTCTCTGCCAGAACCACTTTCTCTGGGGTTCCCTTTCCTGATGAATGGCCTCAGCCTCTTTGTTCTTCCCCTGACCCAGCTAGAATCTGGATTTTATCTCTGGATCCTCATAACTCACATGCTGTCAATGACTGAGTCCTGTAGACTCTGTCTCTAAAATATCACTTACATTCCTCCATTTCCATGCACCCTTATTTCCATCCCCCAATGTTATCACCATTATCTCATACTGGTTGACAAAGTCAATTCTTTCATCTTCATTCTTACTCCACTCCAATTCTTTCTAAACACTGTAGTCAGAGTGACATTTCTGAACTGCGCATCTGATCACTTATATGCTGGCTAAAGTCCTTTAATAATGTCCCATTAAGTTGAAATTCAATTCTCCAACATGGCTTGCAAAGTTCTTTCTGGTGTGGCCCAAGTTACTTCTCATCTGTGTCTCATCCATCATGCCTTAGTGTCAATATTACAAAGACGTCTTTCTGGATTTTTCACCTTGACATTTTGTACCCTCCTACAAACCACCTATTCCCCATTAAGACCCCATTCTTCCCCATTATTTAGCAGACTCTCTGTGCAGACCAGCTGGTTAACGGTTTCCCCTCTGCATTGTATGTGCCACAGGAAGAGACTCTGCTTGTTGTGACAACTGTTCATACCCTCACATCATAGGAGCTTAATAAATATCTGTTGGCGAAGTAAGCACATGGACAAGAAAATGACTCAACAGTGAAAATGTATTTGATTGCTAAATAGGCAATAAGGTATAGTCATGAAGAATCACAAAAGCCTTGGTTTGAATCCTAGGCGTATCATCCGTCATGTTACTTGGCTTCTCTGAGTCTTCATCTTAGAAAAGTGGAGCTGTAACAGCATCTACCCTCAGATAATTACCATGAAAGTTAAATGGGGTGATGCCTGTACAATGCTTGGATAGGGCATGTAACTAGCAAATAATAATATGGACAAATAAAATATCTAGAAATCATAAGAAAGTTACTAAAAATAGATATGTGCTATAGTGTGTTTCCATACATTTAAGGTCTCAATATAAGGAAAAATAAAATATGAATTATGCCCATGAGACCAGATGATTGTAAATGACAAGTAAAACTAGGTTTCATAATTATGCAGAAGGCACTGGTAGGGCCTGGGGACTCAATGGCAAGCAATGCAGATGCGGCTCCTGACTCAGGAGCCAACGGTCTGAGGGGGACACAGACATGACTCACAGTCACACAAGCAGATAACCAGAAATGATGACTTCAGTGATATACAGGGTGTTAGGTAAAAACCTGGATTATGTTATGGTCGTGAAGGTCAGAAGTACAAGATAAGGCTGCAGGAACATTGTAGCCAGGATAAGGATGGGTCTTTGTGCTAAGAGTCTAAAGACACAGGATTTTGAGAGTAACACGATCTGAAATGCAGCTTAAAAATATTATTTCTGACTGTGAGGGAAGAAAGGAACGGAGCTGGACCGGCATGCCTGTGGAAATGGCTGCAGCTCATTGCTCCAGTCCGAGGAAGAGATGGTGGTGTTTTTGCACGGGGAGTGGCAGTACACAGAGAAACTGTGATCATGCATATTATATGCACTTATTTTCTAGGAGTGGCAAAGTAGAAAGAATACAGATTTTGTAATCACGAAGAGTGAGGTTTCACTCCTGGCTTCATGACAACCTGTAAAACTGTGAGCAAGTTATTTCACCTTGTAATTTTATTTATTATTCCTTATTAGACATGAGAAAACTAATACCATCCACAGGAAGTTATACAAGTGCTGACCACAGGGTTTGGCACATAACAGGTGCTCAACAAATGATAGCTATTAGTGTCAAAATGATCAAACAAACATCTATGGTCTACAGCCATCCTATGCTATTATTAATGACAAGATGTGTGAATCCAAACCTAAATTTTAGACTAGTCTTCCAATTTCAATAAACTAATGAACATGTAATTTTGAGCATATATTTTATGAGTTCCAGAAAAGAAGCACAAGCCACATCTCACAAACAAAAGCAGATACTTATTCAGATACTTGTCATAAATTCTGAGTTAGTAGAGTTTGAGTTGGTTTTACTGTATTTGATAATTAGAGACCTGGTGACAAAGGCCTTCTTTCATAAAAGTTTATTGGAAACTTTTTTTCATTGGTAACTACTTTGGGAGGCGCAGATCACAGAGCAGAATTGTGCCAGGCAGTCAGCTGGGTTTCTACTGGCTTCCCCGGCTAGCTGTGGCCTTGGGCCAGTCACTTAACTTCTTTCTGTAAATTTCAGTTTCCTTATCTG